AAAAATTCATTATTTTTTTTGATAACGAAGCGATAACGAACCATTCAGGAGCAACTAAAAAATGAAACGAATTTTTAAATTCGTTTCGTAATTGTTTCGAATTCGTTTTGTATTCATTTCGTTATCGTTTTGAAATCGTTTCGTTATTATTTCCGCATGTCTGGGGCAACTTTTATAGTTGTTTGTTTAATCAGTGAAAAAAAATTATAAATATCACACCAACAGTCAACAACAGAGGGAGAGGGAAGCTTCAGAAGTTCCCCCTGTCCCATTTGGAGGGTTTTTTAGTGTATTGCGCGGTCGCGTCCGCCATTAACGAATCGATTCGTAATTGTTTCGTATTGTTTTGTAATTTACGAAATTTCGTAAATATTGAACTTTTTAAAAGAAAAATTTCAGAATTCTTAAAAAAATCAAAACGCAAAACCCCCCCAAAAATGAATCGATTTTAGAAACAAATTTTTCCGTGGTTGTCCAGCCCTAGTGTAGAACAAATGGATGCAGCGTCGTATGTCATATGTCACTCTGGAATGCAGGAGGTGTGGATTAGTACTGATAACAATTGAAGAGTTCACAATTTTACGATTGGACTGTAAAGAAGCAAGTTTACGATGTGCTGAGTGTTAAGTAGCTTCTAATGTATATAGCTGTAAAATAAAGTAGTTTATAGCCTAAAGTGGCTGTGATTGATCTGTTCCTGCCTTGCTGTGCTGCCAGTGTCACTGACAAAAGACTGGAGGGAAATGAAACCAGTTTTTGGGATTTAAGGTTTGCCTGTAGAAAATCTTTTCAGATCAGGCATCGTTTGGAAACCAAGCACAAGCCTCCTGGAATTCCTGTTTTAAAGGAAACAGTTTAAAAAAAGAAGTGGGGAGGAGTTAGAAACCTCGCTTAGAGAGAAGCAGTCAGGAAAATAGAGCTCAAGGTTTAAGGAAAAATAAGAAGGCGCCAGTGTGGCCTAAGTCAGAAAATAGTTCAGCCAAGGGTATATGAAGAAAGTAACATATTTGTTGATGTGAGATAGTGAGGGTTTCATAAGAAAAGTTAACTGAGTGAATGATACTGAATGTAAGACTTGAGACTGTTACAAAACACAAATGTAACCATAAAGCATTGGAACCAGAAGCTATAAATAAACTTTGTTACTTCGTTGCCTACTGGAGTGTCTCAAGCATGTGATATAAAGCACAAAGGTTTAACAGTTCACAAGAAAGCCCAGCCAATTTAAAAGGGAAACTGCAGCAGTACAAGGTGTTAAAGGGATTAAAGAAAGGAAATTCTTTTCCCCCTCACTAAGTCAAGAAGAAAGGCAGAAACAGAGTACGTTCCAGGTATTAAAGTGTCAACAGAAAACTACATATGTGGTGTGTCATTATGTATTCAGTTATGTGCAATGTTACGCCCCACATATTATAAACACACACGTGTGGTGTGTTTATAGTCAGAGGGGCTATTTCCTCTTCTGGAGTGCAACAGCAACATTCTCACTTGCCTCCAACAAACAAGAGTTTTTTCTCCCACCCTGGACATTCCACAGATATATAAACCCCACTTGCCTAGTTTCCAACAGACGTCACAACCTTTGACGATGTCAGCCATAGATGTGGGTGAAATGTCAGGAGAGAATGCTTCTGGAACAGGGCTCAGAAAACCCACAACAACCCAGACTTCTAGGATTCCGTAGCATTGCCCCATAGCTGTTAAAGTGGTGCCAAACTGCTTTACTTCTACAGTGCAGATGCACCCCTTCTTGTCTTCCAGGCCCATTGTATAATGGTGGAGACAAACCCGCAAAGCTGGAGGCCAGCTGCTGCTGAGCAAACCTTGATGAGGAACAGACTTCTTGCTGCATTCCTTTTTCTATTCTGTGATCTCTTGGGCCAGCAATCAGTCTCAGCACTAACTGAAAGATGAGCGGTTGCCAGCAGTGCTTTGAAGTTTGTAGGGCTGAGGCTGATGGGAGGTAGAAAACCCAATAAGACTTAATAATCTGGGATGGTAGAAGGAGGGCCTCTGAATTACGAAGTACTGCCATTCCCTTCCAGCAGCAACAACCTTCCAAACCCATGGGTTCTGCATCTATTTATTCAACCCACTGTGGATCCAAAATGTTACAAAAACCTTCCAGTGAGCTTAATAATAGTAATAATAATAATAATATTAATAATAATAATTATTATGGTGTCAGGAGCTACTTGAGAGACTGCAAGCCATGTCTGGTGTGAGAGAATTGGCTGTCTGCAAGGACGTTGCCCAGGGGACGCCTGGATGTTTTGATGTTTTATCATGCTTGTGGGAAGCTTCTCTCATGTCCCCGCATGAGGAGCTGGAGCTGACAGAGGAAGCTCATCCATGCTCTCCCCGGATTCGAACCTGCGACCTGTCGGTCTTCAGTCCTGTCGGCACAGGGGTTTCACCCACTGCACCACCGGGTGCTCCTATTATTATTATTATTATTATTATTATTATTATTATTATTATTATTATATGATCCACAACAACAAGCACTGAGTTGGGAAGAAGGTTGGGTTTGATGACCTTCCATAACACACCCTTGAATAATGGGTCTACTCAAATTGAGACTAGCTAATAGGATTCAATCCTGCTGGCACAGGGGTTTAACCCATTTCGCCACCAGGGGCTCAATAATAATAATAATAATAATAATAATAATAATAATTATTATTATTATTATTTAAAGATCGAACTGCAAAGACTCTGGCACAAGCCAGTCAATGTGGTCCCAGTGGGTAATTGGCACACTGGGTGCAGTGCCTAAAACCTTGGCCTTCACTTAAACACAATTGGCACTGACAAAATTACTGTCTGCCAGCTGCAAAAGGCCACCTTACTGGGATCTGCACATATTATTCGCCAATATATCACACAGTCCTAGACACTTGGGAAGTGCCCGACGTGTGATCCAATACAACAGCCAGAAGAGTGATCTTGTTTGTTGTGGACTCATCTTGTGTTTCTAATAATAATAATAATAATAATAATAATAATGCATATAGATCTTGTCGAAGGCTTTCATGGCTGGAATCACTGGGTTGTTGTAGTTTTTTCGGGCTATCTGGCCATGGTCTAGAGGCGTTGTCTCCTGACGTTTCACCTGCATCTATGGCAAGCATCCTCAGAGGTAGTGAGGTCTGTTGGAACTAGATCTTGTTTGCTGTGACATCCTGTGTTTATGTATATCAGTAAAATATAATAATAATAATAATAATAATAATAATAATAATAATAATAATTGTATTTGTTTCTTTCTTCTGCTTGAATTTCTTTGAGAGCATCCCAATCCCTGCATATTTCCAATTTCCTATTCTTGGACTGCAGCTCCCAGCAATCCTCCAGATAGATCAGATAGGGATAGGTAGGTAGGTAGATTGATCAGGAGGACTGCTGGGAGTTTCAGTCCAAAAATAGGTAGGGAAGGAAGAACGGGGAGAAAGAGAAGGGAAGGAAAGGAAGAGGAAGAGAATGAATGAAGGAAGGAGTGAATGAAAGAAAAAAAGGGAAAGAAGGAAGGAGAGAAAGAAAGAGAGAGAGAGAGAGAAAGAGGGAGGGAAAGAAAAGAGGGAAGGAAGGGAAGAGGAAGAGAAGGAAGGAGTGAATGAAAGAAAAAAAGGAAGGAAGGAGAGAAAGAAAGAAAGAAAGAAAGAAAGAGAGAGAGAGAGGGGGAAAGAAAAGGGGGAAGGAAGGGAAGAGGAAGAGAAGGAAGGAGTGAATGAAAGAAAAAAAGGAAGGAAGGAGAGAAAGAAAGAAAGAAAGAAAGAAAGAGAGAGAGAGAGGGGGAAAGAAAAGGGGGAAGGAAGGGAAGAGGAAGAGAAGGAAGGAGTAAAAGAAAAAGAAGGAAGGAAGAAAAAGAAAAGAAAGAAGAGAGGAAAGAGGGAGGGAAGAAAAGGGGAGGAAGAAGGGAAGGAGGAAGAGGAAGGAAGGAAGGAAGAGAGAAAGAAAGAAAAAAGAAAGGAAACAAAAAGAAAGAAAAGAAAGAAAGAAAGAAAGAGGGAGGGAGGGAAAGAAAAGGGGGGAAGGAAGAGGAAGAGAAGGAAAGAGAATGAAAGAAAAAAGGAAGGAAGGAGAGAAAGAGAGAAAGAGGGAGGGAAAGAAAAGGAGGAAGGAAGGGAAGAGGAAGAGAAGGAAGGAGTGAATGAAAGAAAAAAGGAAGGAAGGAAGGAGAGAAAGAGAAAGAGAGAAAGAGGGAGGGAAAGAAAAGGGGGGAAGGAAGGGAAGAGGAAGTGAAGGAAGGAGAGAAAGAAAGAGGGAGGGAAAGAAAAGGGGGAAGGTAAGAAGAAGAGAAGGAAGGAGAGAATGAAAGAAAAAAAGAAAGAAAGGAAGGAGAGAAAGGAAGAAGAAGAGAAAGAGGGAGGGAGGGAAAGAAAAGTGGGGAAGGAATGGAAGAAAGAAAGGAAGGAAGGAAGGAAAAAAAGGAAGGAAGGAAAGAGAGAGGAGAGAAGGAAGGAAAGAGGGGAAGGAAGAGGAAGAGAAGGAGAAGGAAAAAGAAAAAAAGGAAGGAAGGAAGGAAGGAGAGAAAGAAAGAGAAAGGGAGGAAAGAAAAGGGGGAAGGAAGGGAAGAGGAAGGAAGAAGAAGAAGGAAGGAGAGAAAGAAAGAAAGAAAGGAAGAAAAGGAAAGAAAGAAAGAAAAGAAAAAGAAAGAAAAGAAAGAAAGAAAGAAAGAAAGAAAGAAAAAGAAAGAAAGAAAGGAAGGAAGGAAGGAAGGAAGAGGGACGGTTGGCCACAGCAACTTGGGGCAAGTACAGCTAGTTTTGGAGAAAAGAGACCCAATTGGTGCTGGTTTCAATACTCATTTCCTACAATCACATTTTGCAACATCAAGAATGCCAAAGGAAATTGTGGGAAAATAGTACATGATGGAGCAAATCCTGGTTCAACAGTAGGACTGGTTCTTCTAAAGCCTGTGTTTCGGAGAGCTTGGCATGGGAATGAATTGGAGCCGCTGGTTCAATCAGTCTTGATTATTTTCTCCTTTCTTTCAGTGAAGGGTAGCCAGAAATGTGAGCTGAACTGCCGAGCCATGGGCTACCGATTCTACGTGCGGCAAGCAGAAAAGGTCATTGACGGGACTCCCTGTGACCAAAACGGGACCGCCATCTGTGTGTCCGGACAGTGCAAGGTAAATGCAAACGCTCACCTAGAGATTCTGTGTTGTCCATCCAATGTGATTTCTGCTCCTTTACTTATTTAAGGTGGAGTTTTCTAGGGATTGCTTTCCTAGACCAGTGGTTTCTTTTTATAGATACTAGACATGGTCTTTTTCCCCTTCTGGCATAACTCGCTTTGGTTGACTTCCTTGTCCACATCTGGACAGTATCACACATGTTCGTGGGTCTTTATTTTTAGTCCTTCAAAGCATAGTTGGGCGCTTTGTAGATGATAGAGATGTTTGGAGTTTGGGTTATTTATTGCGAGCGCTAGATGTAATGTTGAAGGTCAGAAAACCATCACTGTTTTGATCCAAGCAGACTATGTTGAGATTTTTGTAAACATTTTTGGTCTGTCGTTCTCTAAATCTCCATATTGGCTGGGGAATTCTGGGATTCATTGGGTTGTTGTAGGTTTTTCAGGCTGTATAGCCATGTTTTAGTTGGGCCAGAGGTTTAGCACAGCTGGTAAATCATCAGCAATTATAAGATCTATCAAACAAAAGTTTGCAAGTTCGAAGCCCCAGGTTGGCGTGAGCTGCCAACTGTCAGCCTAGCTCATTGTTTACCTAAGCAATTCGAAAACAGCTTTAGCTGTGATTAGGGAAATTAGGTATCACTAAAAGCGGGGGAGGTGTTTTATGACGCCATAAATAAAGAAGATCAGAAAATGCTGGGTGACCAAAAGGAAGGAGGAAGTCCTGATGGCTCTTCGTCATCTGTATGTGTATTGTCTATACAAAGCAGCATTGAATGTTTGCTCAGTGTGTACTGTGATCCGCCCTGAGTCCCCTTCGGGGTAAGAAGGGCGGAATATAAATAAAGTATTATTATTATTATTATTATTATTATTATTATTATTATTATTATTAGCAGTATCCGCCACACTTTGCTATGGTCAACCTTCCCTCCCTCTTTCTCTCCTTTCTTGATCTCCTTCCTTCCCTCTTTTTCTTTCCTTTCTTCATTCCCTTCTTCTTTCTTCCTTCTCTACCTATTTCTTTCCTTGCTTCCTTTGCTCTTCGGTTCCATCTTTCCTTCCCTCCCTCCCTCCCTCCCTTTCTTTCTTTCTTTCTTTCTTTCTTTCTTTCTTTCTTTCTTTCTTTCTCTTTTCTTTTCTTTTCTTTTCTTTTCTTTTCTTTTCTTTTCTTTTCTTTTTTGCCTCTTTCAGCTCCAAAATGAACTAAGTAAGTCATAGACTAAATAAGGCCGTCTTTATTCAATGCAAATCTTTGTATCTTGTCTGGGGGCCAGCCGTCCCGGTCTCGGTCGGGCTGGCCGGCCCGATCCCTCTTGTCTCTCGGGTCGTTCCTGCGCTCCTTCCGGCCCGCGCGCGGGCCGGCCTCTTCAAGGGGTATGGCCGGCTCGCCTTCCTTCCTTCCTTCCTTCCTTCCTTCCTTCCTTCCTTCCTTCCTTCCTTCCTTCCTTCCTTCCTTCCTTCCCCCTTTCTGTGTATATGTGTTTTGTGTGTGCATATATTTCCGTATATATTTGTGTATATATTTGTGAATATATGTGGTTTTGTAATGTATATGTTTGTTTTTTGGCTTTTTAAGTCCCTTCTGCTGTGTTTTTCAACGTTTTTATGAGTGATGGTCACTTGCTGGCCTGAGAGGGGTCTTGTGTCCAAATTTGGTGTCAATTTGTCCAGTGGTATTTTTAGTTATGTTAATTCCACAAATGAACATTACATTTTTGTTTATATATATTATAGAATCATAGAATCAAAGAGTTGGAAGAGACCTCATGGGCCATCCAGTCCAACCCCATTCTGCCAAGAAGCAGGAATATTGCATTCAAATCACCCCTGACAGATGGCCATCCAGCCTCTGTTAAAAGCTTCCAAAGAAGGAGCCTCCACCACACTCCGGGGCAGAGAGTTCCACTGCTGAACGGCTCTCACAGTCAGGAAGTTCTTCCTCATGTTCAGATGGAATCTCCTCTCTTGTAGTTTGAAGCCATTGTTCCGCGTCCTAGTCTCCAAGGAAGCCGAAAACAAGCTTGCTCCCTCCTCCCTGTGGCTTCCTCTCACATATTTATACATGGCTATCATATCTCCTCTCAGCCTTCTCTTCTTCAGGCTAAACATGCCCAGCTCCTTAAGCCGCTCCTCATAGGGCTTGTTCTCCAGACCCTTGATCATTTTAGTCGCCCTCCTCGGGACACATTCCAGCTTGTCAATATCTCTCTTGAATTGTGGTGCCCAAAATTGGACACAATATTCCAGGTGTGGCCTAAGCAAAGCAGAATAGAGGGGTAGCATGACTTCCCTGGATCTAGATATATCTAGGGAAGTATCTGTGGAAGGTTCAGGGTGGGAGAAAGAACCCCTCACAACCTCTGAGGATGCTTGCCATAGATGCAGGCAAAATGTCAGGAGAGAAAGCTTCTAGAACATGGCCATATAGCCCGAAAAACCTACAACAACCCAACCTCTGTCTGTTGGAGCTAGGTGTGAATGTTTCAATGGGCCACTTTGATTAGCATTTGATGGCCTGACAGTTTTTAGGTGTGGCTTGTTACTGCCTGGGAAATTCCTTTGTTGAGAAGTGATGAAGTATTCCTGATTGTTTCATGTCTGGAGTTCCCCTGTGTTTGAGTTTTGTTTTTTATTTGCTGTCATAATTTTTCGATTTTTTAGTACTGGTAGCCAGATTTTGTTCATTTTCATGGTTTCCTCCTTTCTGTTGAAATTGTCCACATGCTTCTTGTGGATTTCAGTGGCTTCTCTGTGTAGCCTGACATGGTGGTTGTGAGAGTGGTCCAGCATTTCCGTGTTCTCAAATAATATGCTGAGTCCGGGTTGATCATCTGTTGTACTTTTAATGTATTTCCCTCCACCTGTGTGAAAGCCTGTTCTTTTCTACTCCGTCTCTTAAGAGTTTATCCCTTACAAACATTTCCTTTTTATTTTCTCATCCAGAATTTGATCATTTTATGTTGTACATGTGCCTGCTCACTGTGATTGATTTTCCATTACATTACATTATATTGTTTTGTTTTATTTTATTATATTCCCATGCTTTATCTATTTCATCGTGATGCTAGTTCTGTTGTTTTGGTTTTATTTTATTGTATTCTGTTGTAATGTATTTCTGGTCCCAGCATCCATGGTTCATTGGCCCACAAACCCCACCAAGACATCGAGTGGCTCATGGGGGCTCTGCGTGCCAAGTTTGCTCTTGATCAGTCATTGGTGTGGGTTGCAGTGATCTCAGGAAGTGACTGAAAGTACTGCAAGTCCCATCATCCATGGTCCACCCTCCTCCAAACTGCAGCAGAATGTGGAGTGGGTCACGGGGGCTTTGTGTGTGAAGTTTGGTCTTTATCGGTCATTGGATGAGGGTCACAGTTCTCTCAAGAAGTGAGTGGAGGTACTGCAAGTCCCATAATCCATGATCCGTCCTGCCCCAAACCACACCAGGATGTAGAGTGGGTCATGGGGGCTCAGAGTGCCAAGTTTGGTCTTGATCTAACTTGACACCCTGATAGGTGTGGGTCGCAATAGTCTTAGGAACTGAGTGAAGCTACTGCAAGTCCCAGTATCCATGGTTCATTGGCCCACAAACCCCACCCAGATGTCAAGTGGCTCATGGGGGCTCTGTGTGCCAAGTTTGCTCTTGATCAGTCATTGGTGTGGGTTGCAGTGATCTCAGGAAGTGACTGAAAGTACTGCAAGTCCCATCATCCATGGTCCGCCCTCCTCCAAACTGCAGCAGAATGTGGAGTGGGTCATGGGGGCTCTGTCTGTGAAGTTTGGTCTTTATCGGTCATTGGATGAGGGTCGCAGTTCTCTCAAGAAGTGAGTGGAGGTACTGCAAGTCCCATCATCCATGGTCCGCCCTCCTCCAAACTGCAGCAGAATGTGGAGTGGGTCACAGGGGCTTTGTGTGTGAAGTTTGGTCTTTATCGTCATTTGATGAGGGTCACAGTTCTCTCAAGAAGTGAGTGGAGGTACTGCAAGTCCCATAATGCATGGTCCATCTTGCCTCAAACCACACCAGGATGTAGAGTGGGTCATCCAATGAGCGATAAAGACCATGGGGTCATGGGGGCTCTGAGTGCCAAGTTTGGTCTTGATCTGTCATTGTTGGGTGCCACAGTGGTCTGTGGGTGCCCAAGCGTTTTAAAGTAGTACAAATCCCATAATCCGTGGTCCACCTCCCCCAACCCTCACCAGGACGTAAAGTGGGCCATGGGGTTTATGTGTGTCAAGTTTGGTCCAGGTCCATCACTTGTGCAGGTCACAGTGGCCTGTGAAAGTGGCAGCCAATCAGAAAGCTGCCACATACACCTCCGCATACAAACATACATACATACAAACATTCACTTTTATTATATACTAGCTTGGGGACCTGGCGCTGCCCGGATTATTTGAGAAAAGAATTGTGTATCAAGGTTGGTCTTTATCAGTTATTTATATGGCTCGCAGTGGTCTCAGGAAGTTAGTGAAGGTACTGCGAGTCCCATCATCCATTGTCAAATTCTTCCAAACCGCACCAGGATGTAGAGTGGATCATGCGGGCTCTCAGTATGAATTGTGGTCCTGATCTATCATTGTTGGCAGTTGTAATGGTCTTAGGAAGGGAGTGCAGGTATTGCAAGTCCCATCGTCCATGGTGCATCCTCCTCCAAACTGCACCAGGATGTAGAGTGTGTCATGGTGACTCAGTGTGCCAAGTTTGGTCTTTGTCGGTAATTGGATGGGGGTTGCAGTGGTCTCAGGAATTGAACAAAGGTACTGCAAGTCCCATAATCCATGGTCCATCCCTGGCCAAACTACACCAGGGCGTAAAGTGGGTCATGAGAGGTCTATGTGCCAAGTTTGGTCCTGATCAGTCATTGGATGAGGTCAACAGCAGTCTCAGAAAGTGAGTGATGGTACTGCAAGTCCCATCATCCATGGTCCATCCTCCTCCAAACTGCAGTAGGATGTAGAGTGGGTGATGGGGGCTCTGTGTGCCAAGTTTTG